ATCTGTCTTCAATCTCATTAACTCTGTCTTCCATTGATTCAATTCTACTCCTTTGCCCTTTCAATGTGTAATCTTTTTCTGACAATTTAGTATTAGTCTTCTGAATTTCTATCTGTAGATTTTGTATCATTTCTAATTTTTCATTTGTGTTGCCATTTTGTTCTTGTATTTTCTTCTGAAATTGTTCTAGGATTTTGTCAGTGTTTTCCTTAATCTGATTCTCAATCTGTTGAAGATACCTAAATATAATTCTTTTGAATTTCTTATAAGGGAATTCCAGTGTTGCTTCTTTCTCAAAGATATGTTCTAGGTCTGTATCTTGGTCCCTTGTTTCTACTGTTTTATCTTGTTTCTTTGAGTGGACTGTGATGATTTGTTGTCTTCAAGACATTGTGACTTTTTGATTTTATATTTAATTGGCAATTGTATGTTGAAGTGATTTGCCTAAGATTTTCATTATATATATATATATATATATATATATATATATATATATGCAGGGTACTGTGCGCCTCGCCTCTATTCACTAGTTGTCAGCACTTATGCATTCACCACCTGTCTTCTGGTGTATGTGATAGAGAATGAGAGTAGCTGCATAGATCTCTGTTAACTGTTTGTGAAGAGAAATTAAGCATGAGTCAGGCTTTTATTGGTGGTTGTGTATCATTGGCCATGTGGTACAGTAGGAAGTGGTTGCTGTCACTCAGTAAGTGGAGCTGCAGGAGGTATGGGTTGGGTTGTTTTGTATGGGCACAGTTGCCATCTTCCATTTAGTTAGACAAAAACAGAAATAGAAAAGCCATCAAAAAACTAAAACCAAGAGGATGAAAAGACACCCCATAAACACATTAGGAACTATCATCATAAAGAGAAAAAAGGGGGGAAAAGAGGAAAGGCAATAAATGGGAGAAAATATTTAAAGACACACTTTTAAAGGACAAAGAAATATAACTAGAAGCAGGGACAGAAGTAGCACAATATCTGTGGAAGGGGGAATAAGAGGGAAAAGGCAGAGTTTGAGAATAATCAGAAAAAAAGGGGAAAAATGCAAAAAGAAAAACAAGGAATGGGAAGAACCACACGAAAGAAAAAAATGGGAACCATGAAAAGAGAAGAAAGAAAAAGTCAAAAGCTACAATCTGGAATGGGAAGAAGAACAAATAATAATGAAAAGAAGGGGGGAAAAAAGAATGATTTTAAAACAGACAAAAACAAATAAACTAAAAAAAAAAATCTTGGTGGGGCAGGGTAGGGCACTCACACTCTATCAGAGCATGGAATTCCTCCTGGCCTAGAAGTTGGGTGGGGGTGAGGGATGGCTGCACCACCATTCATGAAAAGGGTGTGGGGTACAAGATAAATAAGGAGAATATTGCACTTTTCCAGTTCTCAGTGTCTGGTATGTCCTTGCTGTTGGCAGCAAGTGGAGCCTATTCTTGGGTTGCTGGAATCTGAGAGAATGCTGTCACTTTAAATATCCAACATGGTTGCATCGCTTATAAACATTCACAATGGCTGCACCTTCCAGACAGCCAAAACTCCACAGTTCAGATTGTTTCCTTCTTCACTGTTTCCCCCTTCTATTCACCAGCCACCAATGCAGTCTTGCATGTAGCCTCTGGCTAGCAGGACTGATTTTTCATTAATTCTTATGTACTAACAGCACCACAACAACAAACTGTCCATACTGTCAGGTTCACTGACAGTCTGAAGCTCCATATGTCTCTTTTTTGCTGTTTTCATGCAGGTTCTTCTATTGGAGTTTAGTCCACTTCTGTATCCTTCCTTTCAAAGCTCAGGACTCTACGATTATCTTCTGCATCTGTATTAATTGAATAATTCTGTAATCTGTATTAGTTCTTTTCTTTTTTGAGAGGGTCTGTGTAGTTTGTCTGCCTATTCTGCCATCTTCCTAGAACAGCAATTGGAAATTACAATTTTTTGCGAGTACTTTTTTTCAAGCTGTTAGGAGGAGGATGAGGTCATTATGTGTCTATATGTGTTTTCTTTATTTGTTTTTGTTGGGGGAGTATCATGTGGATTTAATATATATAGTGATAGAGCTCTGGTGTCATAGTGGCTGCTAACCTGAAAGTCAGGGGTTCAAACCCACCAATCACTCCATGGGAAGAAGATGAGGCAATCTACTTCTATAAAGATTTACAGCCTTGGAAGCTGTGAGCCAGAATCAACTAGATGGCAGTGGGTGTTTTACATATATGCATGTATGTATATTTAAAAAAAAAAAAAAAAAAACTTACTGCCATCAAGTCAGTCCCAACTCGTAGCAAACCCTCCTTGGGTTTCTGAGGTGTTATCTCTACAGAAGTATATTGCCCAATCTTCCTTCTGAGGAGTTGCTGGTGGATTTGAACTGCCAGTCTTCTGGTTAGCAGTCAAATGCCTTAGGCACTACGCCACCAGAACTCCCTGTATATATTTGGAAAAAAGTTTTAACATATTTTGTTTCCAGGTTTCTAGAGTTTATGTCATACTTAGGAGGGCCTCCTACAATCTTAGATTATAAAAATACTATCTCACAATTTCTTCTGAATGTCTATAAATTTATCTTTGAAGATATATGTACATATATTTATTTTAAAATGCTTAGCAAGCATAATCTAGTATTTTTATGAGAATTAATATTAAAATATATTTTGTATTTTATCAAATGTCATTCAGAATCTATGGAATGTTAATATATAAATCACATATTTTAAAAATAATGTATTTTAATTTTTTCAGCTTGTAAAATGGCTATGTGAAATAAGGCCACTGAGAACTCTTGAAAAGAAGAAAAACTTCCTGAATTATATGGATGTCAGAAAAGCGGAATTTCAGTAAAGTACTATAAATATCTCTTTATTATAGCCCATCTGCTCCAGGTTGGGAGTGAAAGTGAACTGCTACAGACTTTTCCAGAAGCATTTGGAGAAAGTCATATGGACTGGATGATGTGAAGTGGGATAACATTTCAATGAGAACTAAAGGTTCTGTACTCTTTCTGGTTCTTTCCTTTTTTTTTTTTTCTTTTTGACAGAAGGTTCTATGCCTGTTTTTGCCTTCTAGCTAGAAAGGAAGCATCCAACCAACAGCACCTATCTTGGTGTGTAAATTCTCTACAAGTTGACTCCTAGGAAAGTGCCACATCATATGATTGATATTCAGAAGAGAGTCTCAGATGGTTTTAATTGGTTGTTAATTTGGAAGTAGATTGCCAGGTCTTTTGTTCTTGTTGTATTAGCCTAGAAACTCCAGTGAAACCTCTTCAGCATTAGAGCAATACACAAGCCTCCACTGACAGATTGCTGTACACGAGGTGCATTGGCTAGGGATTGAACCCTTGATCTTCCACAGGAAGGCTATAATTCTACCACTGTACCACCACTGCCCCTCATTAAATATAGACCTTATATTTAAACATAAATTTTAGCTTTATTATTTTAGGGGTTCTAATTTTGCTTCCATGTAACTGAAGTTAGGAGTTTTAATGCCAGGTTTATACAACTAGATACCGGTTACATAATGATTAGGACACAATACTCCTGCTACCAGTGCCCCTTTCTCTCCACCCAGGCTTTGAGATGGACTCTTCAAAGACTAGAGAGATATATTTGTTCTGAAGACTTTTTCTGATCCATAGCTTTTCTCCTCCAGTATACTTATGTGTAACATTGCTGTTAGAGTCAGTCTGTGTACCTTCTTTCATGATTGTTAGAGTAAGTTGGCTGCAAACTCAAAATTCAAACCAGAAAGAGGTTTGAATTTTCTGAAGCAGTGGTTGTTTCTGAGGAACACGTTAAGCTGTGCTTCCTTCCTAGGAAGCATTTTTTATGAGGCATCAAGAAATTCAGGCATGTCCCGAAAAAAATCTGTTTCAACGTCATAAATATTTGACATCACTGGGTTTCATACCTTTAAATGCTTTCATATCCTTGAATGCTTAGATGAATTCACTATACTGTCAAACCACAGTGATCCCATACAGAGGAAACAGACAATGATATGCAGATATAGACTTTGAAATATTGAATCAGGCATTTAGTGAATTTTAGAACTATTTCATAGAGGGAAAGTACTGGGGAAGTGGTGAGACTTCAAGATGATTCTATGTATTCTGTTGTCCTCAAGCTCACAGACAGAGTCCCTGAGTGATACAAAGGATTAACATGGAAGGCTTTTTACTGAAAAGTTAGAGATTGGAGTACACCCAGTGGCACCTTTTAAAGAAAGTCCTTGCAATCTAGTTTTTAAAAAATCAGCCATGGAAATCCTGTGGAGCACAGTTCTACTCTGACACGGTTGGGATTACCACAAATCAGAATGGACTCCACAGGAACTGATTATAATTCATAGAAGATATTTCTTTGCATTAAGATAATTCCAATATTGTGTGTATACTTTGCTTTTTTTCAATCAGTTAAATAACTTGATAAAGGACAGTGATTGATAGTCATAGATTTCCAGTTAGCAGCAGCTCAAAAACATCTACTCAATATCTTGCAATTTTCCAATCTGAGCAAGAGTTACAAAATCTTTTTTGAAGTAAATGAATGTCACATATTATCCACAGTATGTTAAATAAGGGTTAGAATCAAATGGAGAGATCATCCTTACAGCTCACAGTAAAAATTTAATAATAACAATAATTTTTTTAAAAAGTCAGCTCCTAATTTTTCAATTATTCATCTTCTTATTATCTATCTCACCAATGATTAAAATTGCCTCCTAACAGAGCTATTTCTACAGTCTGTCCAGAAATCCTCCCTTTACTCGCCCACTATTGTTGCCAAGGCTGTACTCTTTCCCTGCAAGCTCATTATCCATGCATTTTTCTTAACTCCTCCTTTATAGGCTTCCAGGTACAGATGGAGAGGAAAAACACCCCAGATTAAGATTTGACCAATGCCCCAAATGCCCTCTCAATTGTGCTTGTGTTTACTGATTTTCTAAATGCTCTGGCGTCAGGGCACTATGTACGTATAGGGTGAATCACTCACCTCATAGTCAATATCCAAGGCATCAGCCTCACCCTTGGTGCGAAAGTGCTGTGTGTGTTTGTCCATGGTGAAGTTCACCTGCTTGCCAACCCGCTCAATGAGGACCGAGTGCCAGTGCTGGTCATCCAAGAGGCTGCCCAGGGTGGCTGAGGGTGGGCTGCTGCTGATCCGAACTTTGCTGTCATCTGTAAAGGGCAAGGAAGACAAGATGACATTTGTGCCCAAGGGCAGCAATGAGAGGTTCTGCCTGCAAAGCCAGCTATTGATATCTTACAAGGAATGGAAGATTATTTCTGTATAGTCCACAAGTGCTCTGGACTTATGAAGGGATAGCCAAATTTGCACACAGATTCCAGGACCAAATTTGAAGAAAATTGATAGACATATTCTCTCAGATATGGAATTATTCAGTAGCAAGGCATGAACAATTAACTAGTAAAAGGAATTATACCTTAATACAGTCCTACAAGAATAATATTGCAAATTAGGGTTATCAATTTTTAGAAAGAATACAAGTTCTTTGAGTATGAGCAGCTCTTAAGCAGAGAAAGGAGATCTTGGGTTGTGCTTTGGAGAAAGAGTAAACTTTGAATGAGTAAAAATGAGAAAATGACCCCACTGAGGTAGAAAAGTTTGTGGCCAATGATAAAGATGAGGAAATAATTATTGCAGCTGTCATTTTTGAAAGTCTTCTATATGAAAGAAACTTAAGCAGCAATTTTATAACATCTGTCTTTAATCTTCTAAGGGAAAATAGTTATCAACATATTACAGATAAGAAAATTGAAGCTCTACAAGCTTAAACACACATTTCCAAGTTCACCCAGATAGAAAGAGATGCTGGCAGGATTCTAACCAAGGTCTGCTTGACCCCTTCACCTCAGAATCATTATTGTCTTTATTCAGTATGGCATTTGTCATGGATGTTGAGAAGTCAGCCCAAAATGAACTTGGACAACTCACTTTAGGAAGATGTGAGATGTTCATCTGGAGATGTACCTTTTGTTTCAACCAACCCTGCTGTGCCCTCTCCACTCACACCAATCTCTGATTTTATGGAAGTCTCTGGCTGTACCTTCTGTCAAAAAATTATAGTCTTTTTGTAGGGGGGAGACCAGGTTTTCTGGTCTGATAGAGCCTGGTGGAACCACTGAGACTATGGGCTCTAGCTGCCCTTCAGGTCGGGAATTGAACCCATACCTGTGGCTTCCAGGCAAACAAAAGACAGGCATATGAGCTGAACATTACCTGAGGTAGATACACTCCTTGAAGAGAACAATCATGAGAGAAAGAAGGGCTGTTTATGCACCGGGAGACAGCTCAGGGGGCAAGAGTGCATGGAGGGATGGACACAGGGAAGAAGTAACTATCGGGAGGAAGTGGGAGGGGAGCTATTGCATTGTGGTAAATAGTGGTCAATGTCATGAGACAAAGTATATGTGAATTCCTGTATGGAAGGTGAATCTGCTCTGTAAATTTCCACCCAAATCACAATTAAAGAAAATAAATATACATATACATAGTCTTTTTTTTAATTGGCAGAGTATGCCTCAATCTTAGCAAAATGAACACTTAAATGCAACTTGCTTTTACTTACATATAAATGTTAATTTTTTGAATATTTTATGTATTTGAACCTCTAGTAACTAAAAGCTAAATGTCTCTCCTGTCTCACATAATGTCTTTTACCAGTGCAGCTTCAACAGCCTCCTTATAGTGTGGCATTAAGAGGGCAGGAGTTGCCATTTCCCCTGTAGGCTGCTTCCTCCCACCTCCATTATGCCCATAAATTACTGCGTCTTTTACTAAATACCACTTGGTTGCTTCATATGTTGGAGGGTAGGGTAGGAGGAGATCATACTCATAGTACCTGGAAAACTAGAGCTGGTAAATTATAGCTGACTTTATTTCATTGGTTTATTCTTTGTATAATTATTTTATAAATTTTCATTTCTCACAGTTTGTGAAATTAACAGATTGTGCTAATGAATTAATTTATTTTTCATTCTTTCTTTCTTCCTCTCTCCCTCCTTCATTCTCTACCTTTCTTTTTCATTCTTCTTTCATTACTTCAATAAGTAGATACCGAAATCTTGTGATGGCTAGTCACAGTAGCAGATAATAGATAAAGGTGATTTAGAATTAAAAGGCACATTAACTTATATGAAGGCCTCTATGTGAAGACTCTCAATAAATAAGCCAATATAAAGTATGTTGATGACATATAGCTTGAATGCAGGAAGCCAGTGAAATGTGGGGAGGGATCTGTGAAGGCCTCCTTAGGGAGCTGTGGCTAGTCTGAGTTTTGTTCAGGAGAAGGTATGCTGTCTTACAATGTGAGAAACACCTGCCAAAGTCATCTGAGTGAGGGAATCAGGCAGGGGGATTACTTGTAGTGGAGTGCCATGGAGACGAGTTGGGCTCATATCATCCAGAATTTACTGTGCCATGTGACACAGTTCATATTTTACCTTTAAGGAATGGGAGACTTTATGCATTGGTAAAACAGAGATTATTAATTCAGATTAGCATTCCAGGAAGATTATTTTGGCAGCTGTCTGAAGAATAGACTAGAAGGCAAGACTGGGGTGTGACAGTTGTATAAGACACTACTGGCAGTAATCTAGGGGTCTTCATGAAGAGAGTGCAGAAGGGCCAGAAAGAATTGGAGCCTAATCATGACGAGGAGTTTACATGACTCTATATGTCACTTGGACATGAAGGGGCAGAGATACAGGAAAGACTCATCCAAAAATGACTTCTAGTTTTCTTGCTTGAGCAAGTGTATGAAAAGTGGTAACAGTCATGAGAAAGGAAACATAAAACAAAGAACACCTCAATCTCTGTCTCTTACACACAAACACACTTTTATTTATAAAATAAAACTTGATCAAGAGCTAATGCTTTGTGGAGGGGAACTTAAATTGCCATATAAGCTGTTTCTTCTAAGTAATAAGACAGATTTAATGGTATGCTTTTTCTTTGTATTGATGTGCACCCCACGTCTAAAAAGAGAGAAAGGTATTTAAAAATAATTTCTTAACAAAAAATCCAAAAGACTGAAGATTTGAATTTTTAATCATATGTGTCTTAAAAGGAAAAAAAAAAAAAAGGAAATATAAAGAGGAATCACATGGCTCCCTAACTTATTTTTTTATGTGTCTTTAAAACACATTTTTAAAATTTTATGTCCTTCCTTCATTGTGTGTGTTAGGCCGAAGCAAACCCAAGCCACCAACATTTCAGTTAGCAGCTTCCTCCGGGTGTCAAGCCCTGATGAGACAGCCTGATAAGAAAATGGAAGTAACAGAACCCGCCCAGACTGGAAAGTCCCATGCAGTGGCAAACTTCCTCTTGTGAAGCCCCCTCATGCTAATTAAGTGCAGACCCA